GGCAGCATCTGTGAAGGACAAAACAAGGTTAATGTTTCGGGTCCAGTAAGGAAGGGTTACCGGAAATGTTAACTCTGTTTTTTCCTTCACAGATGCTGCCAGACCCGCTGAGCTTTTCCAGCAACTTTGTTTTTGTTTTCAAGGCACTTCACAGTCAATTATTAAAAATATCTTAAAGGAACATTGCAGAGAAGCAGCTGATTTCGGGAAGTAAAATTCTGGTGCTTGGCCTAAGCAGCTGAAAACATTTCAATAGAAATATCATGTTCAATACCAGGCATCCATTTCAAGTCGGGACAGCACATTTTCTATTCCTCCAAAAAAAACCTGATCGTTTCATGTTTTCAATAACTGCTACTACTACTTTATTATTCCAAATTGTATTTAATTATTTGAAATTAAAAGCTCCAACTGTGCTTGTGGGGTTTGAGCTTGTGCCTATGGACTTTTTTTGGTTCTTGTTTATTAGCCCAGTAACATACCTACTAATGTTCTGAGAACTCCTGTTATAAAGAATAGACATTCCTTGAGAAAATCCAGTGAATGCTTACCAGGATGGAACAAACAGTTTAACTGTGTTGAAAGATAAAGTAAATATATCTAGGCATAACGATCAGGGTATTATGATTTAGATTAAACTAGGTTAGGAACATGACAGAGTTTACAGGGAACAAGTCTGCCATCTGGTACACAAATTCAAAATAAAGAATTATAACATTAAAATGATAAATAATTTGGTTATAAAGAAAACTGTAGAGAAAGATACCTATTAATAATAAAGACAGGGGAATTATCACTCGTGTCCTAGCCAATATCTAGCCTTCAATCAACTTCACAAACAAAAAATAACAGATCATCTGGTCATTCACACTTTTTTAATCACATTCAGAAAAAAACACTGGCACAACACAGATGTTAGTCAGGAACGCCAACACAACCAAAGCAGAACCAGAGGGAGGTGAAATAATAATATTCTTTCAGAAGGGAAAGAGGGTAAAATAAATTTAAGGGTTTAAAAGGCAGATAGGTATCAACGAGAGAATTAGCACCCGTTGAACTAAATCACAGTATGTGTCATTCTCTACAGGGCAGGATTGAGCAATATTGAAAAAATCTCAACCAAACAAATTTAAAGGTGGAAATTTTGAGTTACCCTTGGTTTTTGTCATAAATAGCATACGTGTAAATCTAATTTATTAATTCATGGAGGAAAATAACGAGTTATGAGCATGTTTTATGGAATTAGTCAATTTTCCTATATGTATATTTTTAAAGTAATGCAGCTTCTCAGTTTCTATGTTGGTTGAATAGTATCTAATATAAAATAAGATTGTAATAATCATTTGTAATGTATCCTATTTATTCATCTAAACTTTATAAAGAGGTTCATTTTCTGAACATTTAATTAAATGGCTTCTCAATCTATATTTTAAACATAAACATAGAAAATGCATCATACTGCAGTAGATTTATCTTATTTTGTGTTTCTCTGTTTCCCCCCACAAATTATCATAGTCAGTTCCATTGCCAGCACCCTCCATATGGCTTTTATAGTTTAACAGCTGTAGTAAAAAGCATTTCAGAGCAACAAAACAACTTAAAATACACCAGCAGATTTCAAATCACTACATGCAGTCCCTCTAGATTATTTGTCAGCATCTACCAATCATGTTAATGTTAAATGACCCCATCTTGACCACTTTCAAAATACTGCTTGCTCACTGGCAATGAGGTGCAAGCAGAAATCCACCATGTTTTAATATGTTAGTAATACTACCTACTGAAAAGAAAACAAGACCACTACAGAGGAACCCAAACCTTTTAATAACTGATCCATCCTCTTTTACAATCTGTCTTTGAGCTACATTTGGTATATGAACCTTTCCATGGTTCCCTGCAAAACTTAGAGCCTGGGCAGAAGGAAAACAACACAAATATATAAAAGAGCCACACACATTGCTGCATGATCAAAGTAAATAAATCTCTCAAAGAACAAAAAAATGGGCACAATGGTCATGCATGTCCAAAGATTCAAAAATTTGACAGTAATTTTAGTGTTAAAGTGGCCCAGCAAAAGTTTGTATGAGATTCCTTATTTCTGCTTACTTAATCATTCACCTTATCATTCTTAGGGTTATTCTAAGAAGAATATTTACGAATCCAACATTTAAAACTTCGATTGATTTAAAAAAAAAAGAAACCACTGTCAGCTTTCAAGGTGTCCAGTGGAATATGTGCTGTTATTTGGGGAAGATTTTTATTTGTCAATGTACATGCAGTGGTGAGGTGTCAGGTAGCACATGGGATACAAAGAAATCTAGCTTTTCCTATGCTCTGCAGCATTAACTCCATAAGGTCCCAAAGAAGAAACAAAACCTATCCTTCGTAGGAGGGGTCTAACCTGAGCAGGTGAGGTCAGGGGGGATGGGTTTTGTCTGGAAGATGGATCTATTGGTTTCAAGAGCTTCTTGTTTCCCTTGGTGGAAATTGAAGGGTTGGAGCTGGTTCAAAGTACTTGGGATTTTTAACCATTAAACCACTCCACCAAAACCCAGTTCTATCCTCGTTTGTAACAGGCTTGTAGACCAAGAAGCATCCAGCAGAAGATGCTTCACAACTTAACATATGGTTCAGAATCAAGTGAGAATTGAGCACTTTCACCTTTTCTGGCTTTCTGTATTCACCCTCTTTTCCCAGATTGCTTTCATTATTAACATTTCTAATGATTGATGAATTCAGAACCATTGTCACTGGACAGTCAACACTCAACTGGGTTATGATGAGGGTATAAATTTCTGGAAATATTTTGCCATACATTATGCACAATGCCAGTTGCCTGGCACTGATCTTGCTTTCAAGGTAACCTGTACGAACCTCTGTTAGGAGTTAGTTGCATTAAATTTTTGAAGCGAATACTTTGTCAGAGATCATTTTAGTATACCAGACAAATGTCTCACTATTTGCTGTATACTACCCTGCTGTCACATATAAAGAGTACAAAGTACAATTGCTGTTTGGGAGTTGAGAATAGGACACAGTATTTAGCTCACTGTGCAGGTAACATTTGCTTACTACTGGGCCTACAGTGCCGTTCTGCCAACTGCAGGCCATCTGATGCCACTCACCTTTCTCAGGTTCTCAAGTCCCTTTTCACTTAGTATCCCACTATCTCCCTTCTCCATCTGTGCACAGCAGTAGCAGCCCATGGAAGCTAATTAAAATCACATTTCCTGCTCTCTAGGGAACCACAGTTGTAGGGATCAATGAATGGATTTCAGATTTTTAATCAGTTTTTGAAAGTGGATGAGTGAAATGACACAGAAGTGCCCTGATCTTATGGAGCTGCAGGTTAATTAGACTAGCTGGGAGTTCTCTATTCTCAACAGCACCAGACTCTGCAATGGACAGGATTGGAACTACAAGCAGTTCTGAAAGTTCCCAGCAGGGCACTCAATGGAAAAAAAAGCCTCTTTCCTTCCTCCCGAGGCCAAAGTAGCATGTCTTTTTAGGCTTTTCTCCCGCTGCTGAACTCTATCTACTGACCTCAAAATTGAAACCAGGTAGGGAAAGCCATTAAGTGATCATTAATTACCATTATAAAATTATGGACATTTCAAAATGGGTGGGAGAGTGGTTTGAAGGTCATTTGAGGATTTTATGTTCCCCTCAACACACACACAGACTTAAATCGAGGCATTTGTGTATTGTTCCAAGACTTGATTGGATTTTTAAAATGACCAGCCTAAACAAAATCCATTAACATTAAAATAATTTATCTACTTATTCAATTTCTATTCTGAACTATATTTTATGAAAATGCATTGAATGAAAAGAAAATGATAAGGATTTGACGATGTTATTTATACCATATTAAAATCATCTTTGGCTGTTGGAAGGTCAGATGCCAACTTGGGGTCTCCAAGGTGTTTCTCCATCCTGTCTCCAAGGACCACCGTTTTCTTGATGACCTTACTGACTTTGCGACCCTCAACCTGCTCAGACTGGAATTCAGAGCCTGAAGTCACTTGTGGTTCAGAAAATGTGAGCTGTGGGTATACACAGAAGAATTGAGTGAGATTAAGTATTCCACAGGTCTGCAAACAAAATCTGTAAACAGAGCAGTGGATCACAAACTGTACGAATACATACATTGCTGAAAACATATAAAACGTCAGACAGTGAAAAGGAAACTTAGATTATTGTGGCCGTGATTTAAATGGACGATTGGTGGGAACAGAGTATTTGAACTGCAATGGAGACTTGGCTGTTAACTATTATAAATTTAGCATTGTGGTGAAGTGGCACTATTTTAGTACCTGCCAATCTGCATTCCTGCAGGGAGACGAAAATCTCACAACAGAGGTGCTCTTGGAGGAGTAAAAATTACTACTCTTTCTTCTGAGGGGTCCAGCAAACAGGCCCCTCCAATCAAAGTTCAAATGTTGATGAACTATATAGAATTCTGGAAGCAGTGTTTGACCACATCTTTGACGTTTGGGGCCCCATCGTTGGACGGTGAAGCCTGAAGCCTCTGGACAGTTATAGAGAGGCTGCCTCCATTCAGGGGGTAGCTTCCACATTTGCTGGCAAAATATTGGTGGGCACTCTAAACAGCATCTAACTGGGGACTTAAATGTATAGACTGATTGCCTGCAGCCAAAAAATCATTCCACATGCTGGCCTGCTCTGGGGAAACTTCCTCGATGGAAGATCATTGGACAGCCTGCCCATATGTGGCTCAGTGGTTAGCACTGCTGCCTCACAGCACCAGGGACCTGGGTTCGATTCCACCCTGTGTGGAGTTTGCACATTCTCCCCATGTCTGTGCGGGTTTCCTCCGGGTGCTCCGGTTTCCTCCCACAGTCCAAAGATGTGCAGACTAGGTGGATTAGCCATGCTAAATTGCCCGTAGTGTTCAGGGATGTGTAGATTAGGTGGGTTTATAGGGGGATGGGTCTGGGTGGGATGCTGCAAGGGTCGGTGTGGACTTGTCGGGCCAAAGGGCCTGTTTCCACGCTGTATGATTCTATGAATACGGCTCCCAGCTAATTGCTAAACCCTGCCTCCAGTTCTGTCATACCAGGGTGAGAAAAATTGTTCTTATTGTCCCTGGTCAGGCACCTGAGCTGTGTAATTCAATAAAGATCATTGTTTGAACTTTTCTTATTTATAAATATACTGTTTAACATATCTATTTGGCAACCTAAGCTTTCTGAGGAAGGGTCACTGGACTCAAAAAGTTAACTCTGCTTTCTCTCCACAGATGCTGCCAGACCTGCCGTTTCCGTTTTTTCGTGAATTATAATACTGAGATGAGTGCTCTCTATTCCACATCAATGTTGACATCAAATTAACTCAATTTCAAGCATATAAATATTCTGGAATGATAAAGAATAAAGACTGGTTTATGGTTAAGAAAAAGAAATCAAAGAAAGAACTGTGGATGCTGGAAATCAGAAACAAAATCAGAAATTCCTGGAAAAACTCAGCAAGTCTGGCAGCATGTGGAGAGAAAGCAGAGTCAGTGTTTCGAGTCCACCGACTTTTCATCAGAACTGATAGTAGCTAGGAAAAGGTTGGTATATATACTAAAGAAGGGATGTGGGGAGGGCAAAGAGGAAATGATAGGTGGAGATGGAGCACAGAAAGAGAGAAAACTAGAGCGGGACAGGGGGTGAGAAGGAAGGAGGCAGTGAGAGGGAGGGAGGAGTTGGGAGGAGAGGGGGATGTGAGGTGGGACCAGGGTAGAGGGGAGATGGGGAGGCAGGAAGAGAGACAGGCCTATCACAATGGACATTGATATATCAGAGAAACACAAGCAAACTTGAAAATCTCATGAATTAATTGCTGAGCAGCCAGATTTCCAATTGGCGTCACTTAACAGAGAAAACGTGCTAATGGCCAATTTCTCTTTACTCAAGCCATGGTTGCTGAAGCTAATTATGGCATCCATAATGGTGCCCACAGCTGAGATCAGTACAGAGAATGCCTTCCTCACACTGTTTCAGCCAAAAAGTGGCTCATCGACATTCCCTGCCTCAGTTCTGATGAATCTTTACTCATCATGTTAATCCATATTTTGTCATTTTAGATATCATGCACCTGTTACTCAATTGGCTGGCATCCAACCCTCACCAGTATCTAGGATTTTGGGAGCGGAAATCCTAAGACCCACCCCACCTGTGTGATGCCAGTCAATTGGAGGCTGGCAGATTTTCACTGACTGTCAGCTCTACTGGGAACACTGGCCGTTACCTGTAAGGCACCTACTAGAGGCCGAGGATCGATAAATAACCCAGGTCATAGGTGATTAAGGAGGAAATGAGAGTCATGGAGAGGGGTTCATAAAAAGAACTGGAGGCTGGATCTCAGCCACTGCGGAGGCTAGGGATTAAATTCCACCCATAGTTTCTGGGTTAGTTGTTCTGGATGTAAGGAAGTGGTTACACATGAGCTGCTACTGCAATGCTGTTACGAACACTGAGATCAATGGCTTTCCTCAGTTTTTTCTTTATTCATTCACGGGATGAGGACGTCGCTGGCTAGGCAGCATTTATTGCCCATCCCTAATGGAATATAAGGTATGCATGAATTATCAAATTGAGAATGACCTTTGACTTCAGTTACAAATTTATTCATGCCACATATCCGAGGTCATTTCAACTGAATCAAACTTAGCAACTATTTTATATCTCAATGTCAATGTCATCTCAATGTCCACCACCAAAAGTGGCCTGGCAGCTGTATGACTGATCAAGTTAGTCAGGTCCTAAAGGACATTGCTGCTAAACAGGGAACCAAGAGGGGAAAACATTCTTGACTTCATCCTTACCAATCTGCCTGCTCCTGTATCAGTAAGAGTAGCCACCGCACAGTCCTTGCGGAGATGAAGGCACACCTTCGCATTGGGAATAAGCTTCATCATGTTGTGTGGCACTATAGTTGTGCTAATTGGCACAGACTTTGAACAGATCTGGCAACTGCAGACTGGGCATCCATGAGGCGCTGTGAGCCATCAACAGCAACATAATCATACTCCAGCACAATACGTAACCTCATGGCCCAGCATATCAGGCACTCAACAATTACCATCAGTTTAGGGGATTAACCCTGGTTCAATGGAGAGTTCACGAGGGCATGCCAGGGGCAGCACCAGGCATAACTAAAAATGAAGTGTCAACCTGGTGAAGCTACCAAACAAGACTACTTGCATGCCAAACAGCATAGCAGCAAGTGATAGCCAGAACTAAGTGATGCTCAAACCAACAGATCAGATCTAAGCTCTGGAATCCTGCCACATCCAGTTGTGAATGGTGGTGGACAAGTAAAAAACTTGCTGGAGGAGACAGCTCCATAATTATCCCCACAACAATCTCAATGATGGAAGAGCCCAGCACATCAGTGCAAAAGATAAGGCTGAACCCATTGCAACAAACTTCAGCCAGAACTGCCAAGTGGATGATCAATCTCAGCTTCCTCCAGTGGTTCCTAGCATCAAAGATGCCAGTTTTCAGCCATTTTGATTCACTCCGTGTGATATCAAGAAATGGTTGGATGCACTGGATACTGCAAAGGCCATGGGCCCTGACAACATTCTAGCAATAGACTTGTGCTCCAGAGCTTGCTGCTCCCCTAGACAAGTTCTTCCAATACAGTTACACCATCTACCCGACAATGTCAGAAGTTACCCGTTTATGTCCTATACACAAAATGCAATATAAATCCAACCCAGTCAATTACCTCCCCATCAGTCCACAATCGATCATCAGTAAAGTGATAGAAGGTGTCATCAACAGTACTATCAACAGCACCCATTCAGCAGTAATCTGCTCAGTAATGCCCAGTTTGAGTTCCACCAGGGCCACTCAGTGCCTGACCTCTTTGTGAAGCCTTTGTTAAAATATGGACAAAAGAGGTGAGATGAGAGTGACAAACCTTGACATTCAAAGCTGCACCTGACCAAATGTAGCATCAAGGAGCCCACGCAAAACTGTAATCAATGGGTATTGGGCAGGGGTGGGGAGATCTCACCACTGGTTGGAATCACATCCAGCACATAGGAAGATAGTTGTGGTTGTTGGAAGTCATTCACCTCAGCTCTAGGAAATCTCTGCTTGAGTTCCTCAGGGTAGTGTCCAACCATCTTCAGCTGATTCATCAATGACATTCCCTTTATCATAAGGTCAGAAGTGGAGATATTCACCAACAATTCAACAATGTTCAGCATCATTCACGACTCCTTCAGATATTGAAGCAGTCCATGTTCAAATTTAACAAGATCTGGACAATATTCAGGCTTGGGCTGACAAGTAACATTCACGCTACACAAATACCTGGCAATGACCATTCCCAATAAGAGACCATCTAACTGCCACCTCCTGATGTTCAATGGTGTTACCATCATTGAATATGCACTATCAACACTATCTTTATCAACATTGACCAGAAACTTAACTGGACTCGCCATATCAATACAGTGGCTATAACAGCAGGTCAGAGGCTAGGAACACTGCAACTAGCAACTCACCTCCTGACTCCCCAAAGCCTGTCCACCAGCCACAAGTCAGGAGTGTGATGGACTACTTGCCACTTGCCTGGATGGGTGCAGTTCCAACAACATTCAAGAAGCTTGACACCATCCAGGACAAAGCAGCCCGTTCGATTGGCACCACAACCTCAAACATTCAGTCCCTCCACTATTGATGCTCAGTAGAAGCCGTGTGTACTATTTACAAGATGCACTGCAGAAATTCACCAAAGATCTTTAGACAGCACCTTCCAAGTTCACTACCTATTTCATCTTGAAGGACAAAGGCAGCAGATACATGGGAACACCACCACCTTTAAGCCATTCACCATCCTAACTTGGAAATATATTGCCATTCTGTCACTACAACTGAGTCAAAATCCTGGAATTTCCTCCCTAAAAGGTATGCGGGGGAAATAGTACAGCACATGGACTGCAGCAGTTCAAGAAGGCAGCTCACTGCCACCTTTTCAAGGGCAACTTGAGAATGGTAAAAAATACTGGCCCGGCAGCAATGCTCACAATCTATAAGGGACATAAATAAAATCATTGACAAAAAAATGACAAGGAAACAGAAGACGTTTTGCCAGTCAGGAAAAGGGTGTTAAAGCTAACCTCTGACTGTTCACTATCAGTTTTCAGTACAGTCCGCTTTAAAACTTTTGAATATCCGTCTCCGTCTTCAACTGTAACTGGTTCTTGCTCTGCGCCTTGCATGATGACTTCCTCCTTTTCAGTCCCATCGGGTGAAACTAAGCGCCTGATAATCTTTCTGGTAACCTAAAGGAAAGAGAAAATGAGAAAACAAATGCCTAACAACCCACTCATTTGCACAATTTACCACTTCTCTTCAGTGTACCTTGATTACTGTTAGTGATTTAGTGTGGTGCCTTGTATGTGTCAATGTCCATATCTCCACGTATATGATAGAAAAGGGAAGGCCCATCAAGATTAGCCATGCATTACCTTTTTCACAATGGTATTTCCATGTTCATCTGTGTATTGCTCTTCTGTAACGGACTCTGGCAGAACATCAAGCATGTCATCAGCCTAGAAAATTAATAATGCTTTATTAATACCAAATAATTAAGGATAGTTTCTGATTTTTGTTGAATCAACAACCTGGGTCCAAATTGTGCACAAATTTGTGTTAGATTTTGAACATTTATCTGCCATTCGAGTGACTGCTCAAACTTATTCGCAGATCAATGTACAGATAAGGTTGGGTTTTCATTAGCCTTAACAGGACCGAACAAAATGATCGGCCCGTTAATCAGGACAGCTGTATGTCCCATTTCTGTCTCCCATATAACCATTTTCATGAAGATTGGTGCAGGCGTTGGCTCCAGGGCATGTACACTCCGAAGGAGGATGCAACTGGCAGCATTTTGGGATCATTAAGAATCTTCCCCAAGTAAGTTCATTTAATTTTGATAAAGGTGACTGGACTTCAGCAGCTGTTCTGTTTGACTCCAGCTAAAGGTGGTATAAACCAGGGCTAAAGGTGGGAGAAGTTTAAAAGGTAATTGAAATGATTATGCCTATTATGTTGATCAAGTTTTTTTCCTCTTGCTTTTAAGGAACCAATCAAGACATATGTTAAGATAACAGTTTTGAAATCTGTTTCTTTACTCAGAGAGCTTTATGGGCTCTTGGCTGCATTTCAACTGTATAATATAATTACGAGAGCTTCACATTGGTCACAAACCTATATTCAACAGTCTCTTCATATACTTGGGTATTTTCTGGGCTATTCAATGACTTTCAGTTGTGAGAGTTTGGTTCGTAAAGTGGACAAAGTTGGTTAGACAGCAAGGGGCTGAGGGGTGTTGGTTGAGGTGGGATGTAAAGTGGCTAAGAAGTTCAACATTGCATAGGTGAACTGCTGAGTACGTCAGAAGCACCGGCACAGGGCTTTGGGAAACAGAAATAGGTCATTTAATACAAATGCTCTCTGCCTGGCTCCACTTCGTCTCTGCACCTGATCCCATTGGTGGCAAGCCCACTTCCCCACCTCCAGGCGACTACTGGCTTGGAGCCTCACAAGATTTGTCCAGGCCAGGAATCTAAAGGTGGTGGCATAACCACAACAGTGGCATTACTCCCACCTCCTGCTTCCTGTTTCCGACAAGTTCCACCCAAAAATTGTTCGCAACCGGGGAGCATTTTAAACCACAATTGGTTTCCACTTAAATAGATGAGCAATTTTTTTTTAGCTGAAAATTGTTCTATTACAAAAAGTTCTAGCAAAATATTTGAAAATGTCTTCAAAAATCTTTGCAGAAACATTTACGAGTTTCACTGCTGGATGATAGATTTTATTTAGTAAATTACATACTTTTTAATACTTAAAAGCTTGTAAAAGATATTTCCTATTTCCCTTCCACCTTAAAAAATCCTCTAATTTTAAGAGCCTCCTTGAATGCTGACAAATGGGTGCAGTTAACAGAAATTCACCACAGTGATTAATTCAATCAGATAATGTGACTATTTCTGTGGAAGAGCTTAGCTCGTAAAATAGTGCAAAAGATTGCTGATCATGATTTGCACTGAGTTTAAAATTACTTCTGAAATTCCTCAATCTTTGCTTGTATTGGGTGATTTTGTATGAATTGTGTTGGAATGACGAGTGTAACTTTACAAAAACACACCATCTATATCTTTACAAATTCTGTAATGTAACCGACTATGTTATGTTTTTGGGAGAAAGTTCATTCTTGCCATTAAAACCTCTTCATGATATTTTCTTTGTCACTCAGGATTCCATAAGACTATCTTAAGTAAATGTAGGATTTTTGAAATAGTATTAACAACATGTCACAACCCTCCTTTTCTGTGATAGCAGAGTAAACATTCAGTTCTGAGGAAGGGTCACTGGTCCTGAAACATTAACTCTGATTTCTCTTCTCAGATGCTGACAGGCCTGCTGAGCTTTTTCAGCAACTTCTGTTTCTGTATCGGATTTCCAAGATCCTCAGTACTTTCAGGTTTTATTTAGTAAACATTCATTGGTTAACTTGACAATATTAGAAAGTTGAATTTTTCAAAATCATGTACTTCTTTCCCTATCTTGTTGAAATTTACTGCAGTCCTTTTGAAGAATCAGAAGATAAACACTACTATTTATATCATTAGAGGCACCATCAGGACTGTAGTCTCAAAGTAGGTGAAATTAATTTTTACTTCATGAAATCCCAAGATTTCTATTGGTGCTTTGGTTGTTGCATCCAGCGATTCTGCCTTCCTTTAAATAATTCTATTGGTTTATGCATGACTATGTAAATTCTGTTCTGCATTAAATCAGATTTTCTGGAATTTGAATACGTTCTAATATTTTGTTCTTTTCCTTAATTTTCCTCCATTATAGCTTTAATTGGCACAACAATCAGTGCCACTTTAACACACTCCAACAGATAACCAATGGATTAATTTGGGTGAAAATTTTGATTCTCCCATTAAGTGGGTTTATCCAAAACTTAAGATGTAACATCTCGCAAATTACCTAGAACTGAGCAAGTACAAACAGACGGGAACAAAAACAGAAGTTGCTGGAAAAGCTCAGCAGCTCTGGCAGCATCCGTGAAGAACAACTTTCCTCACAGATGCTGGCAGACCCGCTGATCTTTTCCAGCAACTTCTGTTTTTGTTCCTGATTTACAGCAACGGCAGTTCTTTCGTTTTTTTTTCAGAAACAGACAGGGTTAAGTATCACTGAACACTTGTCTTCAGTCTTGCACTTACCTGTTAGGAGTTCAGTCTCCTCCCTGTACAACTATTAATGATCTATCATTTATTTGCTATCAAACATAATTAATATAGTTAATAATACCAAAGTGTTTTGTGGGAGTGTACAGAGGTGTGAGGTAACAGTTTGGAGAAGTGGCCAAGGGCATGATGCAAAAGAGAAGGATTTCGATAAAAATTTTGAAAAGTTTAGAAAGATGGAGAAAAGTAGAGGGGCTCAGTGAAAATTCCTGAGTGAAAGAATATGAAGGCTTTAACATTAAGGTGCAGAAGACAAAAGACAAAAGGACAAAGTACAGCCATCTATAAAGGTATCAGTGTGGGACGTAGTTTTAATTGTGTGGCAGGTAAACAGTTATTAATCAAAGCAAAACTATACAGATTTGCAGATGACAGCTTTATATCAATGCAGTTGGTGTTGGAGAGCCAGTGGAATTTGACTAGAAGAATCAGTCTGTCCAGTGTTTGCAACTTAACGTTTGAAACATTGCAAGCTGTGGAGTTATAGACAAGTTCTTGTTTGTGGAAGGAGGAGCTAGACAGTTTGTTAAGAAAAGACCCGATCAGATCGCTGATAAAGTGATGAAGATGCAGATGAAAGTTTCAAGACACTCATGGTGAAATAGAGACGAAAATGACCGAAAGTAAAATAGACTGCCTTGATATAATGAGATACCAAGGTGTAGAGTTGGATGAACACAGCAGGCCAAGCAGCAGAGGAGCAGGAAGGCTGATGTTTCGGGCCTAGACCGGGGTAAAAATAAAAGAGCTGAAGGGCTCAGGGACCAAACCAATATGGTTTATAAAATGTTCTATTTCAGCATTTTCTACACCTTAAGTTAATTAACAAAAGAAAACATAGCTCCATCAAAAAAAAATACAGTTTAAACAAATAGTAGATGTAAATGTCCTAAAAATTGGTACATGTCAACACAAATGAAACTGATGGGTGAATAAGCATCTTTCAACATCACCCTGCCCTTCAAATCGGTCATCACCACCTCCCATTCCCCCTCAGTATGCTACTGAAATATAATAAGATGAAGTGTCACATGATAAGGATGGACCGTTTCTAATTAAGTAGAATATTTCTAAATTCTGTTTATAAGAAGGACAAAAAGAATTGTTGATCGATATTCAAATTTCATACCAATACCTGAAAATACAAATATTCCTTCCTTCTCCTGATGGGTTTTATTTGCAAAATTAACTGGGATCAGTCAATCATAACTTCATGCATAGATGTATTTTATGTAATCACAAAAACAGCAAATTTCAAATGAAAATCAAAATGATCAGTAGCAGAGAACATCAAAAGACACACCATTCAAAACAAAAGTGTAAATAAATAAATAAGCAAGGATTTCTCTTTCTATGCCTTAATACAGGTGACCTTCGTACAAAAGTTCATTAAATGCTAGGAACCACACTACTCACGCCATGCCACGAACCCTAGCATGCATTAGTGGAGAAAATGAATACTTCTAATTCCGTGCACAAAAATAGTTTGAATTAAATTGAAAACTAGCACATTCTATGCTTGATCAAAGACTAACATTCCAATTGGGTACCTGAATGATCACCCGCCGGCGGATCACCCTGGTGGTTACTGTCTCCTCATCAGAACTGCTTTCCAGAGCCCCCAATTCTTCTGCTATTTCCTAGTGAAGGCAGTCAAGTAGACAGGGTTGCAAAGCTGACACACTGAAGTCTCATGCTATTATATACCAGAAAGGCTTATTCTTCTTAACTTGCTCTTTGACATATTCTTCTCGTTTTTCAGAGGAATTATTTTATGTAACCAATGAGTTGTGGATTCCTGGTTGTAATATATTTACGTTCCCTCATCTGACATTAATCAACTAAATTACATTATTGACACAAAGGAGTATTCTGAGGATATGAAAGGTTTTCTCCAAATGCAAATTGAATCTTAACAGCATTGTAGTGTTAAAATTGTTAATAAAATCTATGGAATAAAATATGAACTTTTTTTTAAAATTGTGAAATACTTTATGGCTAATCTTTATGTTCGTGTTTAAAATGTCGAATGGTTCTCTTCCTTTACAGAGCTCCTTCATGACAAGGGTCTACTAATAACTAGTTACAAAGCTTTCACAATACTATTCTAAACAGTCTGAGATGTAAAGATGGAGTGGGAATGACATTCCCATTGATACTCCTTTCATCTATATGAGAAGGTGGAAAATATCTGCTATTTCTTTCACAATGACACAGCTGAAATAAGAATCAGTGGCACAATATCCGTGGCCACCAATATTGCTGTGCATATTCAAATTATTTTCAATGACTTTAAATTCAGATTGAACAGGCACATTTAAGTCTCTGGCTAACATAAATACAGTCTATTTTAAAATAAAACTAATTCATGGCAAGAATAATTTTATATTGCAAAAGGATACATGCATTATTGTCCTTAGAAAGGGTGGATGTGACCTCAATAATGGTAAGATCGCTAACTGTTACATTATAGATTGGTACGCTGATATTGAGAAAAGCATCTTGAAATAAAATGCAGCTATTGTTCTGATAGAATGCTAATACCACCTAAGAAAATATCTTTTTACCAGAGAAAAAAATTATACAATGATCATTTGATAACTTTCCCCAAAGTTGTCCACAGAAGCATAGTCAGACAAAAATTGAAACTGAACCAGAAAATTACAGGTGGTTAAAAATTTGATGGAGGTGACATGATTTAAGAGACTCCTACATTAATATAGAGAAGTGGAGAGGTAGAAAGGATCAAGGATGGAATTCCAAAAACTGGAAGGAAACAAGAAGGGAACAGAACTAGGCCCTACTTAGAGAAAATTTAAAAAAAAATCAATGGATTTGGAGAGATGTTGGGCTGGAGGAGATTCCAGAAAAAATGAGGGATGAGGCACAGACAGATCTGAACGTTTAAATATGAAGGTGTTCAAGCACTGGGAGTGATGTAAGTCAGCAAGCATAAGGACAATGGGTGAAAAGAACTTGATGCTTGTTAGGATTCAGGGAGCAGTACTTTGGATGAAGACAAGTTCTTTGCGATCAGTAAAAAGAAGAATTTCCACAAAAAAGCATTGCAAAATCTCCACCTGAAGGTGAAAATCAGACAGCTCAAATATCAATAATTACTAAATAAGCTGATAAGTGAAAAATCGATTAGCAACAGTAATAACACTGCTCATTGATATTGCTAATCTTCTAATACTGGGTACATTTATACTATTAGTTGCTCAATCAAGATTCTGGGTAGTCATAGCCGATACCTTGTGTTTGTAATTTGTCAATCTTATATTCTTATGGGTCTATGACTCTGAGAAAAAGGAACAAGAATTAGTTATGTAAAAGCAGAAAGCCCACTGACAGATGCTGGTCTTCTTGAACCCGAACTAAACAAAAGCCAATATAAAAATCGTTGGGCTGAATCTTATGCTTACTTGGCTATGTGCTGGTGCCAGTTGAGTTTTTTGGAGGGTTTCTCGCCATGAGGCCTGGTGAGTGCTCACTCTGTACCTTACCAAACTCATCTCATTTATGACCTAACCTGTCCCAATGGCATTCCTCACATCTGATTCTGGCCACATCTTACCAAGCCTGGGACAGGATTTCACAGAACTGACCACATCCCTACTACTGGCACCATTTTTAAAAGGCATTGTGCCCCCGGACATAGCAGTCCACAGCTGCACCGTACAGTTTCTGATGTTTGCCCTGGACATAGCAGACAGGGTAAATCTGGTGCTCCGCTTTGTGAGAGATATCTGGAAGCCCAGCAGGACAGGGTGTCTTTCTCCCCCAAGGCAAGGGAACAGGCCACAACACCAGACGATGCCAGCCTGATCCAAGCTTTTCACCTATGTCAGTGCAGGCTCTCCGCTGCATACTTACAGTTAGCTGTGTAGAAAGAAGGTCTATTTCCTTCCCCGCTCCACCAGCATCTTCTCTCCATTGCCTCACGCTCGGCACCTCTGCCCCACTGTGCACACGTCCCATTGAGGCTCATGTCCTGCAACTCTCACTATTACCTCTAACATTTTTCCTCAGTCATTACACATGCCAGCCCTGACACAACTAACCCTGCCTGGCCTCTGCTCTGCATGATCATTCACTTGGGGCACCTCTGCAACTGCATTGCAGTGATAACTGTGTCACTCATTTTCATCTCCCTTAATACCAGCCTGTCTCTCAGTCCAGAAGGAAAACAGCCCCCAGTAGGTCAGAAAAAGTCAAGATGAGGAATGGCCAACATTTGACTGCTCACATTTTATGTGGAAAGCATCCTGACTCTGAATGCCTTGAGCAGCTGACTGACCGGGTCCAAACCCCTGTCCTTGACTTACTGTGCTGGGACCCCTTGCCTGGAAGCAATCCCTTTTGCCTTGACTGAGGCCTGATGACAACCATGACAAACGTCCTGGCTTTGTGACTTTTTCTGTGCTGAAAAGCAAGGAAATGCAACAGTACTGAGAGCCTGGTGCCTCTGGCTGAGGGAACAGATCGAAAATGGAAGGCAAAGCTTTGAGCATCCAGGTAGGCTCGGAGTTATTAAGCACTTTGACAGGCTGGAAATGCAGCCTGGTCCAATCCATGAGCTAGGTACATGTCCCTTAATGCACAGAGCCTTTTGCTGTAGCAATACAGTGACAGCTGATGGTGCAGCTCAAGGTGCAGGATTGAAGTGTCGAAGCGCACTGCAAATGGAACGGAGATGTGTCCATGAGGTTTCTTATGGGCCTATATCAGATGCCAATATTTCCTGTGGCCCAGCATCCAATATTGAGGTTCTACGCCAAGTGGCAAGCTGAAGTCATCAGGTACATGCTCTAATTTCTGTGTCAAGAACTCTTGATGTCTAGCTTATCTGGCAGGCTGGCTTAATATTAATGAAATGACTTGCCACATTAATAAGGCATTTAAGGACAATTTTCCACCACTCTTAATTGACATTGCACTATTGCCTAATGGGAAACTTGCCACGCCTTTTGGCAGAGCATGTAAGGTGCAGCAAGCTGCTTCCAATGTCAAGATATGCCTCATAAAATATCTTGCACATTTCTGCCACAAATCTCGCCAAAAACTATGTCGTTCAGGCCCCTATAAGATTCTGCCCTTGGTTTCTCTTACATCATGATTCTTTTCATTCAAAAAAAGTGTTCAGTACATTTCAATCTTGTTGTGGCAATCTTACCTTTTCAAGTGTTTTCTCCTCAAAGGCCTTTTTAGTGTTTTCTGGCAGCTCCTCTGTTGTTTCCACAATAGTGGGGCCAGTTGCTTGGGAAGCTTGCAACCCCTCACAAACTTGAACTTCATCAGGTTCCTGAACAATGGGACTTTCTTCCTCTATCCTCAGCGTTATCATCTCTGCGGGCTGTTCAATTGCCTCGTGCTCTGCCAGTTCCTCATCTCTTCCTCTTTGCAAATCAGCGAGTTCCCCATCAGATTCTGCAGAATCTTGTTTCCCTGGTCTGTACAGAAAAAATTTCATGACATACAAGTATTTCAACCTTTTGGCTATTATAAATAACAGCCAAAGTGTCGCTCATTAATCTGAGTTTCCACTAAATTTAACCAATGGCAGTAAAAACCATAAAACTGCACTAATTGATGTTTTAATGTTCAACTGTGCAATTTACAGCTTAATTTAAACTTTCAAAATGACCCATTATTGTGCACTTGAGTTGGTTTCCAAACTGACCATCAATAAAAGTACAATACAATCAAATTCAAATCACTCATAATTTAGCAAATTTTCATCTAATCTGGTTGATACTGGTCCAGCAACTCCAGCAACAATAGTGAAGAAAAACACCCAAGGAATCAGCAGCCGGAGGTTTCTTTGGATGAAATCGGGGCTTGTTTCCATGTTTCCCTGGCACCACCTTGCAGCCTCATAATTTCCTGTTCTTAGTTTCCACATTTCCCACCAACCTCAAGTGCGAGTCAGTGTTGGGACATTTAAAAAGAGGGTAGGGTATACACCTTCCTAGGTATAATCGTGCTGCCACGCTGGGCACTTCCTTTCTGCTGCAAACTCCATGCATCACACCCCTACTTCAGGTTAACATTTAATTTTGTGAATTTGTTCTAAACCCATATCTGAACACATTTTTATATCACCTGATTTCTCCTTGCACTAATTTGTGATTTACTTTATGGATTGTCAAAAAAGATATTGACAGAAAGACCTAACTACTATAATAACAACAGATGATAATCACTTTGGTTAAGAATTATACTTGCTTTGTATTACACAGTTGACATTTATATAGCTTGCTAATTTGTTAATTAATATAACTTCTTGTAAACTATGTTTTTAAGCCCTATATTGTGAATCAAAGTGGCAAGAAAATGTTTTAAGTTCAAACTGGCTTCAGGCCAACTACTGAAGTGGTCCTGAACCTGCCACAGAGAAGCTGGATTGGTGAAAATCACATTTCAGAAGAAACCTCACAGGTGAACAACTATTCTTACCAAAATGGATGCCTTTGTGTAATAACTATCAAAATTCTAAGTTCAATTCTTACAATGTTGGATCATAATTGAAATATGATACACTGTCAGCTGTAGCCATCTTTAATTTCAATCTTTTGTTTTCTGCTGAAGGATAACAGGACATTACAGGGTCACTGAGAGAAGTGAGTTAAGCAGTTTACTTCCTCTGTAATGTGGGAAGTTTCACACTGGAAAACATCAGAAATTCAAACTCGCAGCTACTAAAGGTTAGAAGTTATGATCAATAATGTTCTTGTAGGAATATGTAACTAAGTTCCTATGAAATTCTTCACTATACTCTCAGCCATCCTGCCCAGTGGCAAAACAGTACTCATGTAAGCATCCAATGTATAATTGAAATAAAACAAGAGAAAACAAATTGAAAACTAATTTGGCAACCATTTTGGTCATATAAGCCTTTTGAACTTGAACTAGATGAAACCTTACATGGATCCTTCCCTTGGAGTGTCAGAAAGTAATTTCTCCTTTGCTTCAGCTTCTTTTCCCTTTTGAGCTTGTATCAAGTCCTTGGGCATGACCTGTTCATCCGCTGACTCCTTTGACTGATCTTGTGGCTTTGCTGTGGCCTGGGGGCTTTCTTCCTGAGGTTTACAGCAACTGATGGAACTATCTTCCTCTGAGACAAGAGGTGGTTGTGTTTGAAAGCATTCACCATGGCGTTCATGAACTGCTTGAGCTAGATCACTATATAGCTCTCTAGAAGCTGGCTGTCCAAATCGCATGGTCTTTGGGCTGTACAGGTCATCTGAAAGTGCAGAGAAACCTGAAAGTCAAAAAGCAGTGCTTACTGTTAGTTGCTACTATGAACAATTCTAGGAAAAGCAATGTGTTTATAGATCTGAATATTTACTCTAGTTGCCCCTTGTGACTGTGCATTCAATGGATATGCATTTAAAATACCAATGATTATTTTATCCTATTTATCAATTCTAAAGATGAACAAGCTTTAGGTATGACAATGAGAAACCATTAGGTATAGCACTGATTCACTATACTGTACTAGAAGACAGACTCAGAGCACTGATTTAGCAGTGGCCTTTAAATGGTCACCATTTTTGGAGAATAGGTACGAAATGCCATGGTGGGAATCAGGTTTATTGCACTTGCTTACTATTATTTAGTCTTCCACTGGAGGTGAGCATCATCGTCAAGGCTAGAATTTACTGTCTATTCCAAATTGTCCATGAACTGAGAGGCTTATTATGCCATTTCAGAAAACATTTAGGACTTAACCACATGACAGTGGATGTAAAGTCATATGGTAAGGATGTCAGATTTATTTCGGGATGGGTTTTCATGACAATCATGAATAGTTTTATGGTCACTATTACTAAGATGAACTTTATATTCTAGATTTTTATTAACAGAATTTGAATTACACTAGCTGCCAAGTTCCCAAAGCATAAGCCTCGAACTCTGGATTATGAGTCCAGTCTCACATCCAGATGCCAACATCTGCCCCAGCAAAAGGGCTGACAGAGGAAAGAATAGAATCAATTTTTTAAATTGCCTCTTAATGTAAAATTCATTTTTTGGATTGGTTGTCAGCTTCTTATTCATATTTAAATGAATGAAAATTGAATGAATGGGTGGGATGGGTGGGGGCTGAACTTTTCAGAGGTGAATAATACCACTGACTTCAAAAATGGGTGCCTTCCAGCATTATTAACTTGTGGTTAGCTTTAATAAGCAGAGAATGGGAATGGAATCCCACTCTTGGGAGCTGAAAGGCCAGCTGCTCCTGCAATCCCCGCAAGCCAGAATTCAGGAATGGATCTTGTGCGGGACTGCAAACAAACAAACAAACAGTCTCACAATGACTAATAGTCACCACATCTAAATAAATCCCAAATTATTTCAATGGGGAAGAATCAAGTAACCCAGAGAGTGGTGGGGATGCAGACTTTGTACAGCATTTGGGGAGGCACAGGGAGACGCAGTATGATCAGGGGAGGTGGTTTTGCCTTGTGTACTGAGAGGTGTGTACTGAGAGCTCCACAAAGAATATATCCCCTTTACCAGCTTTTTCAATCACTTTGTTGAGAAAACTGTCAACTCACTCTCACCCACTTCCTATTGCCTAATCCGTTAAAACAATGGACATACATTGAGGTGCTTACATGACCATTAATTACCCACTTAAGGGCCTCAATAAATCTAACAGTAGGTTAGTGAGCAACGTAGCCACCCCACATACCATGGGGACAGGTCACGGCTGGCGGTTGGGAAGGGATTCCCCGAATAGTGGGTGACCTATCCATTTAATTTTATATGGCACCCTGCTGATAGCATGCCCACAGAAGGCCTTAAATTTCAACCCATAATTCCTGTGTCACGCAGTAAACTGAATTCCATGTTAGTAACACATTCCCAATGTCTTTGAGCCCCAACATGCCCCTGCTACATTGGGCATTCCAATCACCCATGGATTTACTGGAGCTCTTAAGTTGCCAATTAATAGGATTTTACCTGCAGTGGTGACCAGCCCACCGAGTAAATCCCTATGGGCCTGAGTGCAGCCAGTAGTAGGTTGTGGGGGTGCCCCTTGATGGACAAACCGAGCCTATCAAAATGCACCTCCCCACACCCCAGCCCCTCCCCTCCCCCAAGAATGTGACACCCTGCTTTCTCCCTTTGGAACAATGCCCTCCTCCATCTCGCCAGGGCCTGCCAGCTTGGCTGTGATGAACCCACAGGCTCATATTACATCCCAGCTCTAACACTGAACATCTTTCTCATAGCTTTGCTGCAGTCCACGCAGTGGCCAGTACTTTCAAAGGCACTACTGGGATACGAAAGCTGTCAGCTCATCAATTGGTCAGGAGCTCTGTCAGGCAGACCTTCTCCTACCTTCATCCACCCCACCCCAATTTGGTGAGGAGTGGAGCTCCTGACTCAAGCCAATTAAAGGGCCATCAGCTATTTATTTGCTGTAGGAAGAGTCAGCTATGCAGGCTCAATTTATAAAGTGAAAGGATGGAATCACCATACAAATGCAATCCATTATGTTTCTTTAAAGGAATGATAATTGTGCTTAATAAAACACAGAAACCCTAAAAGGAACAGCTGAAAGGGCCACAATGTGCACTGAGGGCCACACTGAGCTACAGACCCCTTTTGGGGTTTTTGCTGGGTCTTGTTGACTGCAATATCAGTACCTGCCCAAAACAAGGTCAGTACTTTGAACCACAAGAGCAAAATAAAATTCTACCTTGGCCCAGTTACTAAAGAAACCAATGACTACAACTCTTGCCATTTCTGAACAACACCTTGACAATCCTCAGGGGACTGCAAAGGAGGGGTGACTTAGAGGTGCCCCATGAACGTATGTGCCGAATGCCGATACTTAATCAAATTGATCTTTCTTTATCCCTGCCGTCACTGGCAAGTGCAACTTGACATTTATGGCAGCATATCTGACCTAGTTTTGCAGTTGTACTGAATACGAATATATTTCAATTTCCATATGTTTCTTTGTAATTTCAAATTGGAAGTGGCTTGCATTTTTGGCATTGATAGAAAACTGATGTTTGCAGATTGGTCAACTGGTCTGCACACTATCCACTGAAAGAAGTCAATGAAAAATTTGTTGTGTAACAGATTATTTATTCATCATCAGCATTTTCCACCTATACTATAAATCTTCCTGAATTGATTTTCACGCAGGTGTAACTAAGTGCTAGTTCTCTTAAATTTTAGGAATTGCATTTACCTTCACTGTGATCCAGTGCTATTGTTTGTTCAATCTCTGCATAAGTCCGGGAAGCATGCTCTCTACTGGGTGATATCTGTGTAGTTTCCAATAAACTGATAATATCCATTCGATTAATTTTGGTCAATGTCTCCATTAGCTTTTCATCTTGCAATAAAAAGAGTAAAAATGTTGATACGTTACATATTTAATAAATTACTAATTTACACCTGTCAATGAACTGAAATAAATGTACAAAATGAGAGAAAGTGTTTTTCTTTTTCTTCATTCTAAGTTTCAACTTAATAAGTATCAAGGCTCAAACCAGATTGAAATTATTTTTGTTGAAAATTCCACTCTCTCTGGAAGGAGTCTGTGTTTTCATATTAAATTTCTCAATCTATCTAGTAGGACAAAGTTGGGTAGAAAGAAAAGGAATAATTAATTAAACATCTGAACAAAATGCTGCCTATGTCTCAGGGTTTAGGCAAACAGACAAAAGAGCTTTTACAAATATTGAACAACATCCAGAAGAAATAGCAGACTTACCTAGTAGGCAAAACTTGGTACCTGTAATAACAAGCCTGTATAATTAATCCAATAACTTTAGCTGAATACAAATGTTTAGGGAAGAACTGAGAAATGAAATGAGGGGCAAAGAGAATGTATGAAAACAAAGCAGTGGGCGTTCAATTGTTATATTATTCCAATATCACTTAGCAAGTATTTGTTCTTGCACATAAAAATGCAGAGTGCCACATCACTCATGACTGCACTAAATTGTTTGCAGCATGTTGTGTCATCTGATGAAACTCCTGCTCTTGTGTCTAAAGGTGTGATTATTTTGAACGACTGAGAAACACAAGACTTACATAATGTGAACATGTGTCTGCCGGATAAAACCCATGAATTATGAACAAGGTAAAATGCTGATTTAGACTGAGAAAAATCAATCCAAGTTCGTGCCAGAGTCAGAGAAAAAGAACGGAGTGATGCATGCAAAACAAAATGGCTGCCACCTCAGCAATGAATGCACATGTCCAGCTGAGGACGATTTGGGAGGCTGATGATGCCGTCGAGGTAGTTGAGCAGTTTAAACAAAAAAGTGTAATCTTTTCCAAAAGGCACTAGTGAAATGCTTTTGAGGCCCGGAGGCAAAGGGTTAGATCCAATAAGTAGCTGGGAGATGAGAGGAGGACAATAAAAACCCAGACAAAACTGGGGAAAAAAAAAAAAAATCAGCATACAGCTTCAGCCAAAGTCAACCACTGGATCCACTTGTATGAATTTGAAAGCTTGAAGCAGGAACCAGGTGAGCTTGTTGATAATTTACTTATGAAATTATGAATGTCGCCAGCAAGTGCAAGTTCAAAGAAACAGACAAAAGGATAGAAAATCAGCTCACATAGGAGCTTGGCAAACCCTGATGTACAAGAGCAGTGATTGGTAAAGACGAGTTCATGAGATCACAGATATCATGAAGCCACAAATAAAGAAATGAATACACTGACTACCCAAACAGCTAGCATTCAGTTAAGACAAGAGAAAGGCAGCAGAGTGGATGCAGTGAAATAGCAACAAAAGAATGCACACTGGAAAGACAGAAAGACATGCAAGTGCTATAGATGACCCACAAGTTTACAAGAGCACATGCCTTGCTTTGGATCAAGCTGTAGATCTTGTGGAAAGGCCAATCATTGGCAAAGGTGTGCAGAACAAAAGAAGAAGATTGTAAAGGAGTTACCAGAGGCAGAGGTGAATGTGGAAGAAATGAACCAAACATGAATAAAAAAATTTGAAGATACAACAGACACAGGAAACACAACTGCTTGAAATGTGACAGCTCCCAGAGAAAAGAAATTCACACAACCATCTACATTGGGAAAGGGATGAGAAATAAACCCACAGCCATATGCCTGAAGGTGAGGATTGACACTAGAGCACAGGGAACCAGTATTCTGCTCAGATTGTACCAGAAGATCTTGTGTGAAAATTTGAAACAAAATAGATATCCAAAGAATAATGCCTTGAAACTGAGCAATATCATGCTGATGCCATATAGTGGGATTGTGGTTCACTAGATAAGCATGACCCAAATCAGAGCGACCAACATGAAAAGATACAAACTTATGTTCTACATCACTGAAATAAATGACTGTACTATCCTGGGATTGAGGAGTTATGAAGAACTGCAGCTGGTCTCAGTAAACCATGAGATTAAGGAGACATCTTTGAGAGTTAAAGGTAATACACACATTAAAAAGAGTTCTCCAAGTAGAAGCAGGAAAGATCTGACCCAAATTTATCTGCTTTGATGAGACAGTTGGATGTTTTAAAGATTTTGAGTATCACATCACTGAAAAAAAACTAGTGATCCATCACCACAGGGTATCAATGGATGATAGGGAAGTTTGAAAGAGAGATCCAAGAGCTGGATGATAACAATGTGTCAGAATTTATGGACTGGGGAAATTCCAGCATTGTGAGAGAAAAACAAAGCAGATGGTTATGAATTGAGATAAGAGCCCCTAAATCTTAATTAAGCAATAAAGAAGAACCACTGGAAAAAGATCGCAGCAACATTGGCAGAAGCAAACATCTTCAACAGACCTGATGCTTAAAACAGGTACTGAAAAGTGAAGCTGCTCAATGAGATTTATATTTTTAGGACAATATGATGAGCAAGGTCAGCTATGAAGTGACAGTTGTGAAGCCCTTTTGATATCTGCAGTAGGGGTCAAACTGAGTTGTGTTCTGTCAGCAACACTTGTGGATAAATTTTTTTCTCCTTGGTGATGGTATACATTCAGGTCACCTACAGAGGGTAGCAGGAACTGCAGATGCTGGAGAATCTGAGATAACAAGGTGTAGATCTGGATGAACACAGCAGGCCAAGCAGCATCATAGGAGCAGGAAAGCAGACGTTTCGGGCCTAGACCCTTCTTCTTTTCTGATGCTGCTTGGCCTGCTGTGTTCATCCAGCTCTACACCTTGTTATCTCACCTACAGAAGGTGTCTGTTTATCTATCCGAAGTGCCAGGAGGTTGTTCAGCCTTTCTCATCTGTTACCCAAAACCAAACATGCATCAAGTCATCATCTGAGATTTACTCTCTGCTGACAATGCCACACTAGCATTCCAAAGTATGGAACACCTTCAATGGCAAATAGAGAGCTCAGTTTGATTAGCTACATCAGAGAGACAAATGTCACAGACAAGGATATCACCATACTATCATCTACCAACTTTGTCAATGTGATGCTGGAGGTTGTTGACCTCCACATATCTAGACTCCATACTCATTAGCAATCTTTTATGTGATGCTAAGATCAACGCACAGCCTAAAAGCTACAGCTATTATGGCCAAACTGAATAAGATTATAAAACAGCAGCAGCCTGACTGAGGACACCAAACTGCAAGCCTAGTAAGCCTATGACCACCACGCACTTCTTTGTCATTGAGAAAATGTTAGAAGCTACGATTTACGATGTTATAACAGGGCACTTGAATTATTTCAAAGTGGTCAGGCAGAGCCAACATCAAAGGGAAATCATATTTAACTAAATTTTTGGAGTTCTTTGGAGAAGTAACTTATGGTGTAGGTAAACAAGAACCAGTGGATGTATTGCATTTAGATTTCCAGAAGGCATGTGACAAGGCGCCACATCTAAGATTATTGCAGTTGCCTAAGCAAGAAAGCTAATAGAATGTTATAGTTTACTGTGAGTGGAATTGAATGCTTCAGTCAACCAGGGCATCGGTCTGGGGTACTGTGTACAGTACTGGTTACTGTACATATACATGTACAGTATACATGTTAATGCATTGGATGCAGTTCAGAGAAGGTTTATGAGATTAATACCTGGAACGAATGGATTCGCCCATGTGGAAAGGCTGGACAGGCTCTGGAATTCATAAGAATCAGTGATACCAGTAAGGGGACTTGACCAGGTGGTGTTGAAAGGATGTTTCTCCTTGCGGGAAAATCTAGTACTAGGGATCATAGTTTAAAAATAAGGGGTGTCCACTTAAAAAGGACACAAGAAAACATTTTTTTTTTCTCTCTCAGACCATTGGATGTCTTTCGAATTCCCTTGCTCAAAAGGCAGTGGATGTAGAATCTTTAAACATCCTTAAGGTAGAGGTAGATGGATTCTTGATTACCAAGGGAATGAAAGATTATTAGGTATATTCAGGAATGTAGAGCTGAGGTTAAAATCAGATCAGCCATAGAGTCATACAGCATGGAAACAGACTCTTCAGCCCAACTAGTCCTAGAACCCCTATAGTGGGGAAGCAGGCCTTCCGGCTCATGAAGTCCACACCGATCCTTCAAAGAGCATCCCACCCAGACCCAACCCCAACCCCATCACCCTAACTCCACATTTCCCCATGGTTAGTCTACCTAGCCTGCACATCGCTGGATACTATGGGCAGTTTAGCATGGTCAATCCACCTAACCCGCACATCTTTGGACTGTGGGAGATAACCAGATCACCTGGAGGGAACCCATGCAGATGCGTGGAGAACGAGCAAACTCCACACAGACAGTCACCTGAGGGTAGAATCAAATCTGGGTCCCTGGCGCTGTGAGGCAGCAGTGCTAACCACTAAGCTACCATGATGCACCGACCATGTTCCCAGGCTAAGCTAGTTCCACTTGCCTTCATTTGGCCCATGTCCTTCCAAATCTTTCTTATTGATGTATTTATCCAAATGTCTTTTAACTATTGTAACTGTACTTGCATCCAAAACTTCTGGCAGTTCATACCACACACACGAGTTCAGAAAAGACTTACGAGGATGTTACCAGGCTTGGAGAGGCTGGGGCTATTTTCCCTGGAGCATCGGAGGCTGAGGGGATGACCTTATAGAGGTTTATAAAATCATGAGGGGCATAGATAGGGTAAATAGACACGGTCTTTTCCCTGGGGTGGAGAGTCCAAAACTAGAGGCATAGGTTTAAGGTGAGGGGAAAGATTTAAAAGGGACCTAAGGGGCAACTTTTTCACATACAGCGTGATGCATATATGGAATGAGTTGCCAGATGAAGTGTGGAGGCTGGTGCAATTACAACATTTAAAAGGCATCTGGATGGGTATATGAATAGGAAAGGTTTAGAGGGATATGGGCCCAATGTTGACAAATGGGACTAGATTTATACAGGG